AAAAAAAAAAAAAACTGCATTTTCAAACTTCAAAGCTTATATTATTTAATAGCTTATCAAAAATGCTAACTTTACAGAAATCTGTAAAATTTTATCGAAATCTCAACAGTTGAACGTTTGGTAATCAGTTTCGCAGATTTCCTGTAATTTTTCACAAATATCTGTGAATTTTTCACAGATATCTGTAAATAATTAGAGGAAAACAGTTGAATTGTTTACCGAACGTTCAGCTGCTGAGATTTCGGTAAAATTTTACAGAAATCTGTAAAATAATCTTAAGCACAAAAACGCCTCAACTAATCGGAAGGACGACTGAGACAAATCCGTAGGAAACTGGTTTGCCTTTTAAGAAAAATGTACACACTGAAAAATATGTATCGCCTAAAATAAAGAGAACTATTAAATATTTCAATAACAATAAAATTAATTTTTTAATATTTTTAAACTTATGTTTATGGTAAGTTTTTAATTACCAAAAATGCAAACTTTTCTTAAATGGACACAATAGACTTTACAGAATTGGTTAACATCGTAGAACAAAGTCGTGACCATGTTACAGTCGCTATAAATCAATGAAGACACATGGTAGTCTATTCACATAGGAGTATTGAGTGAAAAAAAGATAACTCAAAAACGAAAAAAAAACCTATATTCTCAAGCAAACATATTAAAACATATTGCGCCCTCTGTCTACAAACCATAAAAATATATACAATCCATGTTTTTCAAAACAAAATCCCATCTATATTAAATTGATAAATAGAAGATTTTTAGCGATGGGCCCAATCTTAGATCCATAGGCCAACATTAGAGTGATTTCCCCTATATCTTTATATATATTTCTTTTCATTTCATATTTTGATCTTTGAAGCTTAGTGGTTCAAAAGTTATAAATTTAAAAAAAAAGTAATTTTTGAAAAAAAAATCGAAGTTTTGGACCACCCTAACATGGAAATGGTCTTTCTAATGACAAAATAAAAAAACAACAAAACTACCAATTTTTACAAAATTCTGAGAACTACTATTTTGTTTTGCTAAGGAATGGCTGTATTTTAGCTTTGGTACAGTTATTTTGGCGATTTGAAGTCATTTTTAGCACCGTTTTCGATTTCCATGAAACTTTGCATAAGACTGTAAGATAATAGATTTAGATTCACTTTGCTACAACGTGTAAGATCCAGAAATAATTCTGGTGGCCCTTAACTGTTTGTTGTGGGCAATCATTCATATTCTAAAATTCAGCTATTTTGGGTTTGGTATTTTTTTTAAATAGCGTCTGACATTTTTCGCCACTTATGATCAAAATGAGACAAAGTTATAGAGAAAAATTAAGTATTTCTACGAAAAATATACACGGATTTTTTAAGTGATTTTGAGTAAAAATTAAAAAAGTAAATAAAATCTTAAATATCTCATAGCGCTGGGAAATATCCAAAAATCCGAAGTCAGGAACGGCTGAAAATCACTGCTGATCTTGAGAGTAGCAAAATCACAAAGCAGAAAATTAAGGCTGATTTTAACCTTAGCTGATTTTGAGGAAAAAAAAATCACCTACCGAAAAATCAATACCTTGGTATTACAGTCAAAGTAAGAAACTGACATCCGCCGCCGTTTTGAAATCCAATATGGTGGACCAAAACCCAATATGGCGGCCTCTGGACAGCGTATATGCATCTAAACCCATGCAATATAGGTATCTACGGAATGGGCTTGATGAGTACAAGTGGAAAATCGACATCCGCCGTCCGTAGGCTGCCATATTGGATTTTGATCCGCCATCTTGAATTCCAAAATGGCAGCGGATGTAAATTTTCCACTTCTACTCATCGAGCCCATTTCGTAGATACCTATATTGCATGAGTTTATATGCATATACGGTGTTCAGAGGCCGCCATATTGGATTTTGGTCCACCATATTGGATTCCAAAATTGCGGCGGATGTCAATTTCTTACTTTGACTGTAATACCGCCATATTGCATGGGCTTAGATGCATATACGCTGTTAAGAGGCCGCCATATTGAATTTCGGTCCGCCATCTTGAATTCCAAAATAGTGGCGAATGTTGATTTTCCGCTTATAAACATCGAGCCCATTCCGTAGATACTCAAATTTTATTGGCTTAGAAGCATAACCGCTGTTTAGATGCCGCCATATTGGATTTTGGTCCGCCATCTTGAATTCCAAAATGGTGGCGAATGTTGATTTTCCGCTTATACTCATCAAACCCATTCCGTAGATACCCATATTGCATGGATTTAGATGCATATTCGCTGTCCGGAGGCCGCCATGTTTGATTTTGGTCCGCCTTCTTGGATTTGTGGAAGCCATCTTGGGTTGAAATCCACCATTTTAATTTCATCCCAAATGCTGACTTGAATTTCGGAATGCCCCACACTCTAGAATTTAGCATTGCTTCTAATCCTAGGATTAAAAATTACAAGATCCAAAATTGCCGTGTTTTAGCAACAATGTGAATGATTGCCCAGAACAAATAATTACGCATAGTTTCATGCAAATCGGAGAAGGTTGAGCCATTTTTTTTTGTGGTTTATCTTGGAACTGCTCTTTTATGTCTTTAGAAGGTAATTTTAGTTTAAACCATTTCGGTGATTTTAGGAACCTTTTGAAGTTTTGAGGAACATTTGGTCGATTCTAGTTTAATTGTAGTAGGGCCATTTTGATGCTTCTAGGACAATTTTGGAGTTTACTACGGCCATTTTCATGTGTTTTGGTAATTTTGTCATATGTTATTGCGGTGATTATTAAGGGTCAAGCGCAATGACAGTGGAATCTTGTATGCCCTTTTCAAATGTGGCTCTTGAATTTGTTTTCTGGCTCCATAAGGAGATTCGTTTTTACGCCCTTCGCACCTTATTTTGATGAGTAGGTATAACCAGTAATCAAATGTTGATCAACTGTTATTTACGCATGTCATGCTGCAATACGATGCGGCACTACTTCGTCATACTTCATTTCAGTTCGGCATACCCCCTTAAATCGGTGATTCGACATCCCCGTAGAATTTAATATACACCAGTCTTATTTAACTCGTGAGTAAAGGATTTGATGCATACATGTTGGATGTAGCTGATTGTCTTCATTGTTTTTGAAGTGAATGACGGAAATTAGTCCCTTATGGCGAAGTAGTGCTACACCCTAGATGATCTATCACCGTCACACTAAATATTTTGCCGAAATTTCCACAGCCAAGCTCCCCGGTTAACACATTTTACTAAGATCGTTACAACGAAATGTCACTTTTGCTGAGATCTTAGGCTCTGAACCATTTGGTGGATTTTTTAACTTTTGGTTAAAATTTGACAGATGGAAAGTTATCGATTAACCCTGCTATCCAAGCGTGGTTATTTCTGACACACAAGAAGTTAAATTATGACAATCGTGGTTGAGTTCTTCTTGAAAACCGATCGATCGTTAGCACAGGGATTTTCGAACATTGAGAATAACTTTCGAAATGTCACTTTTAACCACGAGTTAAATTTAACTCGTGGTTAAAAGTGACATTTCGAAAGTTATTTTCTATGTTCGAAAATCCCCGTGCTGTTGATCGACCGGTTTTCGAGCCACAGTTGTCAAAATTTAACTTCTTGTCTGTCAGAAGTAACCACGCTCGGATAGCAGGGTTAATCGATAACTTTCCATCTGTCAAATTTTAACCAAAAGTTAAAATAATTCACCAAATGGTTCAGAGCCTCAGTAGAATGTATCCCCGTGCCCTCGGTTGTGTAGATCTCGGTAAAAAATGCCGAGCAGGGGAAATCAAAACTATATGTGACCATCATCATCATCATCATCATCATTTAACATAAAATGGCTTTGCAAAAGTCAGGATTATCATCATCGTAATATCGTTTAACATGATACGATAACTGATATGTATTGCTTTCTTTATTTTGGAAATTTTCAGCCTACACACTTAAATTTTTTCACCGAGATTCCAACAGCCGAGTAGTTCTGCAATTTATTTTGCTGAGATTCGGTAAAACAATTGCAGAGACTCAGCTAACACATAAAATTTTGCTGAGATCTCAGCTAACAAACACATATTTTGCAGAGATATCAGCAAAAGTAAATGCCGAGGTAATCGGCTATTGGAGATTTTACCGAGTTTAAGTATATATACACACTTAATTCAGATCACCGAAGTCGGTAGGAATTTACCGGGTTTTTGAACAGCAGAACAAGTCGGTAAAATTTTCAAATGACCGTTACACGTGAGAAATCAAGAAAATTTATAAATTTTATTTTTCATCAATAAATGGGGTAAACTGAACAAATTCTGTACAAGTTCAGAATAAATTATCTAATAATTGGATTTTTCACTGATTTTTAAACTTTTACCGAACAGTTCTGTAGTTCAAAATTTACCGAACGATGGAGGCCTGGATTAGTGTGTACACTTAGTTTGGTTTGCCAAATCTCGGCAATTCCGTTACCGCCGAGCAGCTAGGCAATATGTTTTACTGAGATCTCAGCAAAAGTAATGGTTTGGTTGGTTGAGATTCAGCGAATCATTTACTCAGTAACCTAAGCAACTGAGATCTAAGTAAAACTTAAGGCCGAATCGGCATATCAAACAAAGTGTGTAGAGCTGGTCTGTCTACGAGTAACTGATAGTTGATTAAATTAGGTTTGCCAATTTCGACTAACTCGTTGATTTTAATACTTTATCTGAAAACACTTATTGTTTTGATTACGAATGATAGTTAATACGCCCTCAGAGATTTGCAAGTTTCATCATATTTATATTGCTTTTGAAAAAGGGAACAAATGTGTAACATACAACAGCGTTAGCATATTAAATCTACGGTAAGTACAATTTATACAATCCCGTATGAATCTTCGCAGTGAACAAGTCTTTCAAAAACATCTCGAAAGGTAACACCATTCTCGTTGGGCTCACATCCCATCGACTCAGAGTACTAATTAGACCCATTTTTCTGCCGTCTCTCAACCTGTTCACCCTTGATAAAAACTACAGTTCCACCAAGGTGGATTCTCGAACCAACCGACAAGGCTTTCGCACAAGGCTCTAACGCAAAGGTCGAATGCAAAGCCGATGGGTTCCCGAAGCCTCAGGTTAGCTGGAAGAAGGCCATCGGTAAGTGCTTCACAGATTGTAACATTGGTAGATACATTGTAACATTGATCACCTCCACAGGTGACACCCCCGGGGAATACAAGGATCTCCGCTCGAACGATTCAAGCATCCGTGTTGAGGAGGGATCGCTTTTCATCAACAACATTCAGAAATCGAACGAAGGCTACTATCTGTGCGAAGCGATCAACGGTATCGGCTCGGGTCTCAGCGCAGTGATTCTGATCAGCGTTCAAGCTCCGCCAGAGTTCACCGAAAAACTACGCAACCAAACGGCTCGCCGAGGTGAACCAACTGTGCTGCAGTGTGAAGCTAAGGGTGAGAAGCCCATCGGTATTCTGTGGAACATGAACAATATCCGCTTGGACCCGAAATCGGACAACCGATACACCATTAGGTAGGTTTCGAGTGTTTATCGGTGGGAATGGAATTAGAATTGATTTTCGTTTTTGGTTTTTAAGAGAGGAAATTCGTCCGGATGGAGTCATGTCAAGCCTGTCGATCAAGCGTACGGAACGAAGCGATTCAGCTCTGTTCACCTGTATGGCTACCAATGCGTTCGGAAGTGACGATTCCAGTATTAACATGATCATTCAGGAAGCTCCGGAAATGCCGTACGCCCTCAAGGTGCTGGACAAATCCGGCCGAACAGTGCAACTGAGCTGGGCCAAGCCTTACGATGGAAACTCGCCACTAAAGCGATACATTATCGAATTCAAGCGATCGCGAGGAACCTGGGAGAATGATGTTGATCGGTAAGAGATCTTGATTATTTTTTTCTTAAGATTGACCATACTAAAATCTATCTTTTCACAGCGTTATTGTTCCTGGCCATACCAACGAAGCTCAGGTGCAGAAGCTCAGTCCGGCCACAACCTATAATATCCGAATTGTTGCCGAAAACGAAATTGGAGTTTCCGACTCGTCGGACGTCGTCACGATCATCACTGCCGAGGAAGCTCCGTCTGGTAAGCCACAAGCGATTAAGGTCGAACCAATCAATCAAACTACGCTCCGAGTTAGCTGGAAGGCTCCTCCACGTGCCGAATGGAACGGTGACATTTTAGGCTACTACGTAGGATTCAAGCAGACTTCGCAAAATTCGTCATACATCTACGAAACGGTGAACTACTCCTTGGAAGGTGGTGAAGGAAAGGAGCACAGTTTGGAGATCAACAATTTGAAGACCTACACTCAGTATTCGATAGTCATCCAAGCGTTCAACAAAGTTGGAGCTGGTCCGATGAGCGAAGAAGAAAAGCAATACACTGCCGAAGGTACCGCGGATCAACCGCCAAGTGATACTATGTGCACAACCCTAACTTCGCAAACTATCCGCGTTTCCTGGGTAAGTCCTCCGCTAGAATCGGCCAATGGTGTAATCAAGGGATACAAAGTAGTCTACGCGCCAAGTGATCTGTGGAATGACGATAAGAACAAGGACTACAAGAAGACTGCCTCCAGCGATACGGTTCTGCATGGTCTGAAGAAGTACACCAATTATACTATGCAAGTACTGGCTACTACTTCCGGAGGTGATGGCGTTCGTAGTGCCCCGATTCACTGTCAAACCGAACAGGACGTCCCGGAAGCTCCCACCGCAGTTAAGGCTCTGGTTATGTCGGAAGGATCGATTCTTGTTTCGTGGCAGCCACCATCCCAACCGAATGGAGTTATCCTTCAGTATACTGTCTACATCAAGATTGGAGATCAGGAACCCAAGAGCCACAAAGTGCCTTCCTATCAGATGAGCTATGAAGCTTCGGGATTGGAGAAGAACCAACAGTACGATTTCTGGGTTACCGCAAGCACTAACATCGGTGAAGGTCAGCGCTCGAAGATGCTTTCGGCTATGCCAAGTGACAAAGTTCCAGCGAAGATTGCCTCGTTCGACGATAGCTTCACTGCTACCTTCAAGGAAGATGCCAAACTGCCGTGTATTGCCGTGGGATCCCCAACGCCCGACATTACGTGGAAGATCAAGGGCCAAGAATTCGTTCCCAATGAGCGCATCCGACAGCTTCCGGAAGGTTCCCTCTTCATCAAGGACGTCATCCGTCAGGATGCTGGAGACTACACTTGTACCGCTGAGAACTCGATCGCCAAGGATTCCATTACACACCGATTGATCATTGTGGCTCCTCCACAGTCGCCTCAACTAACGCTCACCGCTACCACCACCGATTCGCTTGCCGTCAAGCTAAAGCCTCATGAATCGGACACTGCTCCGCTACAAGGATATACTCTGCACTACAAGCCTGAGTTCGGCGATTGGGAAACTATCGATGTTGCATTGGATGCCCCGAAATACACCATCGAAAATCTTTACTGCGGATCGAGATACCAGGTGTACGCCACTGCATACAACACCATCGGAGCCGGCGAGACCTCGGACATCCTGAACACTCGAACTAAGGGATCGAAACCGCTCCTGCCAGATAAATCACGATTCATCGATGCTTCGTCCAACTCGATCACGCTGCACTTGCCTGCATGGAAGGACGGAGGCTGCCGTATGTCGCATTTTGTTGTTGAGAATAAGAAAAAGTTCGTATCTTCGCTGTATCGTTGAAGTCTCTCCCATCTGAAACTGGCAACTTTTTGTTTTCCTATCCAGAGATCAACTTGACTGGAACCAAATTTCGAACAATGTCAAACCCGGCGGCAACTTTGTTGTGCTGGATCTGGAACCGGGTACCTGGTACAATTTACGAATAACTGCCCACAACAACGCCGGCTTCACCGTCGCAGAGTACGAATTTGCCACTCTGACCATCACCGGAGGTAAGTGATACAGTGCTTCCTTTCTAAACATGCTTTTTATTACCATCTCGTTCTCGTTATCGACTATATACTCATTGGATCGTCTAATCTTGTTTAGTTTTCGTTTCACAGTAAAATATTCTGGCATTTATAAATTAAACAAAAAAAAGGATATTCTAAATTCTAGCTTCTTTTCGTTACTGCCGCGTACTAATCGTATTTATTCTATCTTCGGTTCGAATCATCCATCCATCATACACCAATCATCTATTATCATTTGCATAGTTTCTTGTCAGGCATCGACTGTCGTGTCTCTCGGTTATTATTTCGATTGAGTTCCCTTTGAGTTTTTAAGTTCAGATCCTAATTGATAAGAAAATCATCCAACAAACAAACAAACCCGCCCCCCGAAAGCTTGGCCCTTGTCTCTGAAACAACCTGAAAGCTAAATTGTAGACTTCACTCAACATACGGACAGTATGCAAGCGTTGAAAGACATCGCCAAAAGAGAGGATCGAATCAATATTGATCCCAGTTAGAAAACACTACCACAAGCACTTTTCACGATTTTGAGAACACAATAACGTTCCGGTGAATGTAAGTTTCAATTTGAGCACAAAACCGGCACCTAATTGTACAAAACTGTAAATAAATCCAAACTGTACAGGAAGGAAATTGATTGGCTTCACACTGTTACTGAAAACTTACACCGTATCAAATGATTGAAAGCACAAGCCATGAACAATGAGTGCGCTAAACAAACAAAAGAACAAATCGGGATGGAAGCGCTGTTTAATTAATTTCCTTCAGTTTTCTTATGTTGTTACGTTTTTAGACAAATAAATAAAAAGTGTTTGTGTGTTTCCTTTTCGTTATGTTAGGTAGTGAATTTATTTTTCGTTAATTATGTTGTTCATATCGTCCCGATCAAATATCATCGTCACCGAATTACTATAGACACGCTCTTTGCACGCTGTATAGCCACCCACCACTGACTTGAGTTTTAAAATATAGTAGTAATTGTTCTCTGCACCAACATCATCCGATAAGATAACAGTTGAATAGATAAGTTAAATCGCGGAAAAAGCCTATGATCGCAAGATTGTTGCCTAAAAAAAATAGCTAATGGAATGAGGGATGTTAAAGTTATAAACATGAGCAATTCTGCATTTCTTCTATTGACATATAACCAATCAGCTTTGAATGAAAACGCAACAGTGATCTTGGTGATCGAAATTAAAGTTGAAAATCATCAAATACACAACCGTTAATAATTTGTGAAGCAATATTATATTGGAAAATGGTTATTTCAATGTTTTAACAAGCTATTTAATGGACATAGACGAATTTCCAATATCTTGGACATCGAAGACGGTTCAAGGGTCTTTCACATTTTCAGAAATTCAATATATTTCATGATCCTCTGACTTGAATAAGAGGTTCAATATCTACTTAGGCTGTTTCTCAATTGCCAAGTTAAATTTAACTCGTGGTTAAAAGTGACATTTCGAAGGTTATTTTCCATATTCGAAAATCCCGGTGTTATCGATCGATCGATTTTCAAACAGAACTCAGCCACGGTTGTCAAAATTTAGCTTCTAGCGAGCACATCATATTAAGAAAACTGGCAACTTTGCCAGAATCCAAGCGACAGATACAATAGCGCTGCGCTTGAGTGAAGGTGGAAGCAACGCATAGAAAAATGAGCAAATACACAATCCTTTCCTCAGAAGAATCTTTGCTATCAGATTCGTTCGAAGCATTTACCTTGGAGCGGCAGATGACGCGATTGTACCTGTCTCATAGCGTTCGTATGAGAAAATGGAAGAGTTGCCAGTCTTCTTGATTTGTTGTCTTCGCTTCTAGTCTGTCAGAAGCAACCACGCTCGCTTTAGAAGCCTTAGCATATTTTGCACAGACCAGACATTGCAAGATAAAATCATGCGTAGAAACTGAAAAGTTAAGATCTAAAATCGACGAGTGGGTCGTTGTTGGCTTAGTAATTAATTGCTAAAGTACAATTACCAGCATACCTTTCTCGTTTATCTGGTAGAAAATACTACTCAATGCTAATGGTAGTTGTGTGGGCCCGATACACCCCAGTGTAGCCCACACAGTGGTTTCGACTGGTTGATTGGAATTACTTTATGGGGTGGCTTTCTCAGTCCTTTAGTAGAAAGGATTTTTGGAATGTCTATAGTTTTCCCGTTAAAAACGTTTACGCATCGTGAAAAGCGTACATGTGGATTTTTCATGACCTGTTGTTAATTGAAACGAAACGAAACGAATGTAAAAAACAAATCGACTGAGAAAGCCACCCCATAAAGTAAGTACTACTCAATATTACACCAATTTCAGACATAATATTAGTTTTAAAACTACACCGAAAATAGTTTCCATGTAGCTTCCATTGGAAATGCACATTATTTTCGTCCAATAACAAAATGAATGATAATCATCTGAATTCCATATAACGATCACATGAATTCTATATGATTTTCCATATAGATTTCATCGACCTCAAGATTTTCATGTGATTTTATGGTGAGATTTGCAATTATGTGATCACATGAAAGCTATGCGAAATTCACATGGGTTTTTTTTCCATTACATATGTGATAAATTTTTTGAGTGTAGAAATTTATACACGCTATTTCAAAACTACCCAAATTCGGGTAGAATCTACCCAGATCAGTCAAAACTGAACCTACCAAAAAATGGGTAAACTATGTTAGGGGTGACAAGTTGACAAATGAACAAAGTCGCTCGGATTCATGACGATGTTGTTCATTTGTCAACTTCTCGCTACCAGCACAGTTTACCCATTTTTGGGTAGGTTCAGTTTTGACCGATCTGGGTGGATTCTACCCAAATTTGGGTAGTTTTGAAATAGCGTGTAATCTAATACAAACGCAGCCAGTACGAGAAAGCATCCTGGAAAAAAAATTAGGTTAGATAACACCTATTAATTTTTCTTGTCAACATTGATGTTTGCAGCATATCTGAGATATCAAGACCAACAATTGAAATGGCCCTAACTCCATTTTGTAAACAAACCTTGTAAGGCCATTTTCTCGCGAACCGAAACATTCATTCGCAAACCTAAACCACAACCGGGTAGAGGAGAATTTCCCCTACCTGTTCATTATGTTGGTTTGCCTTTGCGGACTTCGGTTCGCGAGAAAATGGCCTTACAAGGTTTGTTTACAAAATCGAGTTAAGGCCAGTTCAATTGTTGATCTTGATATGACACAAACATCAAAACGGCCAGGCCTACTGCGTTGCATTTGCCGGAAAGATGATTCTGTGAAATGATTCGAGTTTAAATAAATATATTTAAACAGCGATGCATTTCGTGAATCTTCAGGGTTGGAAGGATGCGTGGACATACCGTACCAAACGCTGCGAGTTATGTAAGAGTGAACGTTTTTTGTTGTAATGAATGGTTTATTTAAGGGGGTAGTACACTTTGAACGTCCAAAAAGTAAGGCATTTTCGTTAATTTTTTTAAGCAATAAAACACTCAGGGAGGGCAAATATGTTATAACCCATTTATTAGTCATCCTTCGAACTACAATTTGTATTTTTTGAACTCGATTGGCGTCTCCCCGTGGCCGGTGCACCAGGTCGCGCGGGCGTCCTCGCGCGGAAGTCGGAAAACGGCTTGGGAAAATACTCCTTTCCATGTGATCCTGGAACATAAATCGAACAAAAATCCTGATTAGTAATGAAATTTGGGTTAGAAATACGCATTCCGATTTTTTTGAAATTATTTTTTTCAAAAGTTGTGGCCTTAGGAAAAAAAAAAGTCAATTTTTTCACCCTAAAAAAAAATGCTTACAAAATCGTGGATTAAAAATCCATTTTTGACAAAATCGAAAATGTGGATACGTATTTCTAAGCAGAATTTAAATCTGAACAAGAAAACATAGGCGATATCCAAATTTGATGATAACTGGTTAGAGTTATTTCCCACGCCATTTTGAAAAACCCCGTTTCGAGATAAACGCGTTTAAAGATAAAATGCTCTCTCAGCGCACCGGTACATGTTTTAGGAAATCGCTTCGTAAAGCGGTAAGGAATATTCTGGCGGACTTGGAGTCTTTTCTAAATTAAAGTATACACCTCAAGGAACATTTTAAGCCAAAAAAAAAATGAATTTTTTTGAAAAATCAAAGTGTACTCTCCCCTTAATATAGTAATCACCAAATGCCTCCAATAATCCCCAAATTCCTAATTTATAGATAAAAATGGATGGATTTCACAAAAACTGGTCTGCTTGACTGTGATCATCAACTTTTCCGGACTTCTCTATCCCACGATTTTCGCCAGTACACCGAAAATAATTTTCATGTAGCACATGCAGCATTGGAAACGTACATGATTTTCATCCATAATCGAAATGAATGGTATTCATCTGAATTTCACATAACATTTATGCGATCACATGAATTGTATATGATTTTTCATATGCAGCTATGTACTCACAGGAAAGCTGTGTGAAATTCACATGGATTTCATCCATTATATATGTGACAAATTTTTAGAGTGTAGCTTTAGCCTTTAGCCAGGGTGGCCAGACCTACCGATTTATCGGTAGTCCTACCGATTTTCGGGATCCCTACCGATTCACAGACGAAGGGTTAAAAACTACCGATTTTTCACTTTTCCTACCGAGAATCACAGATTTTGTAATCTTGAAAAATGTTCAATACCAATGTTTTGTTTTGCGTGTAGTCAGAACTAGCATTAGAATTATAAATATTGATTTCGACTAGTTTAAAGCAGAATAACTAAAGGACAGTATATTTTTCTGAAGCAGAGTCCCCCCCCCCCGCTCACAAAGGTTTCAAGTATCGGGAAAACCTTCTTAAGATGGCCTACCGATAACTACCGATAAACGTTTTGAGAAGGTACCGATAATGAAAAAAAAAATCTGGCCACCCTGCCTTTAGCTTTTGTCTGTTGTCCTCTGCCAAACGCTTCGTCTTCATCACACAGCTCGCAACGAACGCCGTACA